TATCTTACATGGCATTTTTCTCTTTTTTTTTGTCTTTTTACAAAACACCCTGTTTCAAAATAAAGTAGAAAATCTATTCTCAATGCGTGGTTTTCTCATGTTTTTAAAAATTGTAACCTTTTTTGATAAGCCAAACTGCACTAAAAAAAAATGTGAAAACAAAATATAAAATCTTGAAATTTAATCTAAAATGCGTTATTTTCTACCGTTTTAAAAGTTTTTTTTTTACTGAAAAAGTCGCAGAATACGACATATTTTGCCAAAACAAGACAGAAAATTGCAAAACTATTTCTAAAATACGATATTTTTGTTTACTTCGAAAGATTTAACGAGTTTTCTATTACTCAACGAGAAACTCAAAAAAAATTGTCACAATTAAGTGGAAAAATATAAAATTTTATCTGAAAATGAATTGTTTTATTTTTTTTATTTTCTATTCTTTATTTTAATTTTCAACAAAAAACTATTCTTATTAAAAAAAGCAAAACAAAATTTAAATGACAAAATTAAACTGCCTTATTTTCCATGAATTTAGAAGTTTTTCAAGTTTTAAAACAAAAATTGTAAAATTATCGAAAGATTTAATACGTTTTTTATTAAAAATCTCACGAAATTTGAAAGGTTTTGTCAAAACTTAACGTAACTTTTTAACGAAAGAAGATGCAAAAAAAATTATTTAAACTTTTTTTCCCAGAATGACATTTTCTATAACTGGTTGACGTATAGTGACATCCTTTTGAGACACTCTGTATATTTTGAATGAGATAAAAATTAAGCTCCCTTGGGTCGTAGAAAAAATGTTAAACACAGCCTCGTAACTCACTTTACAGAAGACAAATTCGCATTTTGAGCAACACAAAACTTGGCCCCCTTGCCCACACCATCGACAGTACAATTCGCTTCCATCTTCGTCCTTTTCAAACTCACCACTAGTGTAAAAATGGTAGCATTCTTTGCATATTAAGACTTTCAAAAGGGGGTGCACGAATCGGTTACTTTGGCCTTCTAAAGCGCTCCCTAAATGGACATTACAAGCCGTGCAGTGAATTCTAGTGTATTGAATTGGGTTGGCTGAAATGACAAATTTTGGGGGGAAATTTTATTTAAATAATGAAGTTTCTTACTGGGCCCATACAGTCTTTTCTTCAATTCGAGCTCCTCTGGTGTTAAATTAAACGAAACTGGAATAAAAACCATCAATCAAAATGACATATTAATGTGAATCGAAGTAGTCGTTGAAATCATTTTAAGGTGGCAACCATGCAAAAATTCAAACAATCCTAACCTCAATCTTCCCCACAACAACCTACTTGATGCACATAAAAATCAATTAAAATTAAAATTACTTTCAGCTCCTGTCACATCATCAACAAATGTGGAAAAAAGTGGTTCATATGGTAATGGACTCTCACAGCCCGGCATTGACCCATTGGTAGTGATGACAGGATTATCATCAACGTCCATTGACACCTCAGGACATAGCAATGATGGGTCAAAATCATCATCATCAGCAGCATCATAATCCATTTCGCAGTCTTAAAACAATAAATTATTTTAGCATTGGGCAAAAGTGGGCGCAAACCGTCATCGTGGTCGTCGTTACCGCGGTTTGGGGGTCTACCTTCCAGCGGGTTTTTGGGGGGCTCCTCCTGCTCTTCACCAGGTTGCTGATTATCACTTTCAAGCGGGGTTTTGGGGGGATCCTCAACCTCAACGGCGAGGGGATCCTGCTCTTTGGGGGGCTCGTCTGAGGTTTCTTTTTCTGGAGGTTTCTCGTTCTCTGGGTCTTGTGGGGGCTCAGCACTGCCTTGGTCCTCACTTTCAATCACGTTTTGTGCCGTTTCGGCTTCAGTCTCTTTCGAGGGGGCTGTAGGATCGTCTAGGGTGTCTTTTTCCGCGATATTTTCGCTCTGACTAGTTTGTCCATTTTCTGTCGTTTTCTTGGTTTCGAAACTGTCATCTTCACTGTCAGTGCCTTTCCAAACATCACTGTTACTACCAAGACTCGCATCGGCTAAAAATCGCAATAAAGTCTCACTTTTTTGAATTAATTTCAATGGAAGACAAACCCATGAGGTCCAAAGGGTCTAGTTCGTCGCTCCCATTGAGAAGATTTGCTAAAAAAAGCGAAAAATGAGAAAATCGTGAATTTATTCCAATACTGACCACCACAGAGATTTTCACTTTCTTTACTAAATTCCGGGGTTTCCGACGCTGGGGTTTTGTTGTAATCAGTCAGTGTGTCTAAAACTACTCTTTTTTCACCCACTGGTGTAAAAAACACAAATATTTACCCGTCTGCAAGTCCTCCATTGTCGCGAATTTGAGGTTAGTTTCACTTGGGGCCTTGGGGTAAAACGAAAAACACCAAATTAGTTACTAAATCATCACATTCTCCTGAAAAAACTCATTAACAACGCGCCAAAAACATTAAATTGAAGTTTGACGATAAGTGAAATTATTTTACGCAGGTTCGGATTGAATTATTTTGTTAGAAATGGGCGCGAGAACTTCAATTTTGTTACTGTTTCGGCGGAAAACAGTTTTGCGTTTTAACAGCTGGTTTAGTAACGTATGTCGGTGATTGGATCAGTTTTTGGAACAATTCAAGGTTAAAACAAAAAAGGCACTTAAGGCCCTTTTGCCCCCACATTTTACCAAAAAACGGCAACTTTCGAAATTTTTGACATATTTTTGAAAGTTTCGTTCCCCAGTGATTGACGTCTTCATTTCCGGTTATCAGGAAATCAGGATTTTGTTGCTCCGTCTCTTTCTCCAGTCAGCGTCTGTCTCTTTCCCCCATTAACGCATCATGAATTCTGCGACGTACGCGCCTCGAGCGGGAAGTAAATATAGAATCGATGGAAACAACTGGGCGTTGCGTTCCCAATAGAATCAAGTAGACGGGTCTCAAGGCCACCTTTACTGGTTTCAGTGGAGTCGTGCGCATGATGGTTACCTGTTTCGGATAATGCTTCATCAGGACCAAGGGCGCGAATTTCGAAATGAAAAAACTATATTGAATCACATTCAACATACGATAAAGAAAATATGTACTTTTTAATGCTGTTACGACGGTTTGGACGACCCTTGGGTCAATAGTACGAAAAAGTATTACGAACAAAAAAAATACCAAAAAATCCCTATAATTGAAAAAATTACATATTTAGTTTGCTTTTAAAAAAGATAGTTTTAATCCAAAAGATATTCAAAAATTGATAAATTTGACAGATAAATGACAGATACTGAAGTTTCTAGTCGATGATGTAACTAAAAGTTTCCAAAAAGCAAAAATATATTAAAAAAATTTTCATGATTAAAAAATAGAACACATGGAAATGAACTTCTCAATAGATTTTGATTTTAATTAAATGTTGTCGTTATAGTGATTTGTCCAATTTAAATCATTTTTTATATTTTTTTTAACCAAAATTCGGTAAAACACAAAAATAAATAATAAAACATTGTAATGGTGCTTCACAATTTTAGTTTGCCTTAGAAAAAGTTAGTTTTAATCAGATTTTAATAAAAGACATATTCAAAAATTGTCAAATTGACAGATAACTGACGGATATCAAAGTTTCTAGCCCCGACATACGTTTAAAATTAAAAAAAAATAGATAAATTACAATTTGTACCACAGTTCATTTCTTTATGTCTATTAAGAGAATTAGAACTCGAGCAAGTGGACACAAAATAAATAAACTTCTTTATATTTTTTCAACAAAAATTCAATAAAACAAAAAATAATTCTAAAGAAAAATATAGTCTAGAGAAAAAGAGAAAGAGAGAGAGAGAACATTGTAATGGCGCTTCACAATTTTAGTTTACTTTAGAAAAAATTACCTAATTTTAATCAGATTTTAATCGAAAATTCAAAAATTGTCAAATTGACAGATAACTGATAGATTTGAAGTTTCTAGCCGAGACATACGTTCAAAAATAAAAAAACAGATAAATTATAATTTGTAGCATACACCTGAGTTATATTTTTTCAACCAAAATTCGGTAAAACAAAAAAAGTCTAAAAAAATATAGTCTGGAGAGAGAGAGAGAACGAAAGAGAGAGAATTTTAGTTTGCTTTAGAAAAAGTTAGTTTTAATCAGATTTTAATAAAAGACATATTCAAAAATTGTCAAATTGACAGATATCAAAGTTTCTAGCCGAGACATACGTTCAAAAATTAAAAAAAATAAATAAATTACAATTTGTACCTCAGTTCATTTTTTTATATCTATTAAGAGTATTAGAACTCGAGCAAGTGGACACAAAATAAATAAACTTCTTTATATTTTTTCAACAAAAATTCACTAAAACAAAAAAAATTCTAAAGAAAATTATAGTCTAGAGAAACACACACAGAGAACATTGTAATGGCGCTTCACAATTTTAGTTTGCCTTAGAAAAAGTTACCTAATTTTAATCAGATTTTAATCGAAAATTCAAAAATTGTCAAATTGACAGATAACTGACAGATATTGAAGTTTCTAGCCAAGACATACGTTCAAAAATAAAAAAATTGATTTACAATTTGTAGCATACAGTTATAGTTTTTCAACCAAAATTCGGTAAAACAAAAAAAGTCTAAAAAAAAATACTTAGTCTAGAAAGAGAGAGAGAGGAAGAAAGAAGGAGGGGAGAAAAAGAGAGAGAAAAAACATTGTAATGGTGCTATACGAAGTTTTGCTTAGTTAGTTTTAAAAGATATATTCAAAAAAAAATTCACAGATAACTGACAGATATTGAAGTTTCTAGTCGACACATACGTCCATAATTGAAAAAAAAAATAGATAAATTACAATTTATAGTTCTGTAAATGTAATAATTTTTAACTTAAATACCTAATATTAAAAAATCAAGATAAAAAAACTAAAACAATTTCCTAAATAAATAAAACTTTCATCATGCAATGCGTGTTTAAAAGCCGTTCAACCTTCAGTTAAAATTCTTTTTACGCAAAATTGTCTTTCCTTATCAGTGAAATGGATCGATATCGTCGCTAAGCGACTTTTCAACAATCATTTCAGGTGGCAGTGTGATAAGAAGCCGACAATGGAAGACATGAAGAATAAAAGCATCCACCACACTGCTGTAAAAATCTGCGAAGACTTCAAATCGTCTCCGTCGTATCAAGCCCTCTTCCAGGATCTCCAGGTGTTTCACTTGTCAAAAAAATCGCGTGTTGTCAAATTCAAGTTGGTTATTCAGTCATGTTTCAGAAATTAGTCTCCACTCCCAGTGTGAAATACGACGATTTCAAGGAGAGTCTCCTGAAAGCGATGAAAGACAACGGCCTCGATGCCGGCTTAAGAAACAACGTCTACCATTGGATGAAAACGAAGAAGAAAGAAGTGTGTTCGCCTTACGACACGTTTTTTCGAAAAGCGCAAATTCACTGGGACAAAAGAATCCACAAATCGCTGAATTCGATGTGTGCTGAACTTGGGATTAATCTCGCGAAAGTGCGAACTGGGGTGGAGAGGGAGGAAATTGCGGGTAAATGGGGCGAACTTAGCAATTATGAGGTAAGTTGGTTTTTTTTCAATCAAATTAGTAGAGAAAATTAGTTGAATTGAAGGTCGATATTCATAAATACAGACCGGTTTATGCACCGAAGGATTTCCTCGAGGTTTTGCTAAACCTCAAAGGGCCCACGACGAGGAGTAAAGGGTGGGAATTTGGTGAATTTAACAACGATTTTTATCGATTTATTTTTCAGGTGCCCGAAGTGGGAATTTGCGCAAATGCCGCTGAAAGTTAAGAATTTAACCGATTTGGTGAGTCAAGAATTACATTTTTTACAAAATTTCGCTGAAAAATCACCAAATTAGATCGAAACTGCTATTTTTTGTGATTTCTGGAACGATGAAAACAAACCGGACTGAAAAATCAAAAATGGGATAGAAAAGACGTTATTTTTGATTTTTTCAAAAGTTTAAAAATGTTTTTTTGATTAATCGCCAAATTTGTAAATTTTAAGATTACCAAAGTAATTTCACTTTAAAAATTTTCGAATGTTTAGAGACGTTTTTGAGTTAGATATTACAAAATTGGGCGAAAATTTTTGCATTTTAGAGCGTTTTTAGTTTTTTTATTACAAGATTTGGCTAAAACAATAGAAAATATCACCCAAATGCCTCAAAAATAGTGTCATTTTTGTTTTTAAGTGTATTTCTTTTTAAAAACTTAGTCGTTTTTGTGAGATTTCTCTTAAATAGTCTGAAAAATCACTAAATTTTTGCTCTTTTCAAGCACAAAATTTGTAAAATAAAATTT